GTTGCAAATTGTATGCTTTTATCGCATTACATCACCCTCCTTTGGAAAAAGAAGAATTTGGCAACGTGATCAATTTTGCCATATTCCTCTTGCCCAAAATTTATAATCAGAATTAAATTGTTTTGAAGGAACGAATTTAAGAGATGCTTAAGGGATATTCCTCCTTCTTTCATTCGTTCGTTCAAATCAATTTAAGTGTTGGTAAATATTAGATATTTAAATAAAAGCTATTGTATTTACTTAATTATTACTTATTTTATTTATTAAAAGTTATTTAATTGGCAAAGTATCGTATTTGTAAAATAAAATTGAGTAATTATTTTCGTAAATAACTTATGAGGCTATTTGATTGAGTTTTACATAAATACATATTAATTGCTTATGAAAAATGTAATGTAAATTTTTTTGTTTTAATATGTGCATTTAGATTTTCTGAGTTATATTTTTAACAATGTATGAAAAATGCTTTCGGTTTAATGAATTCATTTAGTATTTTGGAAAAAAAATCTTGTATTATAATTTTGTGGAAAAATATATTGTAAACACTTATAATAGTTAGTTTTGTTTGTTTGTTTTTTCTTTTGAGCTAGATTTCATATATAAAATTTGTACATTTCAGATTATTATTTTTTTGTTTTGTACATTTTTGTTTTTGTTTATAAGGTATACATATAATAGAAAATTTTCTATTATTTTATCTTATGAATTCTATTTTTGTGTACTGTTTTTTCTTTGTTTTTTGCTTCATCAAAAATTGTGACGTTTACACCGTCAATTTTTGTTATAACGTATGGCCCTTGGTATATGTTTTCATGCTTATTGCGTGGTTCTTTTTGAACAAGAACCCTGTCGTTAACGCCGTTTTATCTTATATTAGTTTGTTTCGAATTTTGTGTTTATTAATTAATTCTTTAACGATTTTGTGCGAATTTTGCATGCGATATTTAACTTCTTTCGCATAATTTTCTACATTATAAATCGGGTCAATTTTATCTTTTTTCAAATCTTGAGGCACTGTTGCCTTTTTCCCAAATATTAATTCAAATGGGGAAAATTTATTATCGAAAACTGTGTTAGTTGTTGTGTTGTGTAAAAATGTAAAATATTTTAAATAAACATCCCAGTCGGAAAATGTTTCATGTAAATATGCTCGTAAATATTCATTAAAAACTCTGTGGTTACGTTCGATAGTACCCACGGTTTCATGATGGTGTGCGGTTGAAAAATCGTGTTTAACCTTTAAAAGTTTGGTTAATTCAGTGAAAATTTCATTTTTAAATTCGGTGCCTAAGTCTGATTTAATGGAATTCATTACACCGTAAGTTAAGACAAAACTTTCGAAAATGGCAGATGCAATCGTTTTAGCGCTTTTATCTGGAACAGCTACTGTTACTAAATACTTTGTTAAATCGCATATATTGGTAATTGCGAACCTATTACCACTACTCGACTCTGGTAGGGGTCCTAATGTGTCGATTACAATAATATCAAATGGTTTGCAAGGTGTTGGCGTTAAAACAAGATTTTCCTTGTTTTTAGGTTTAACCTTGTTTAATAAACATTTTGAACAATTTTTAACAAACCTGGATACATCACGGGTCATATTTTTCCAGTGATATTTTGTACGTAATTTTGCATAAAGTTTTTTAATTCCGCAGTGACCGCCTGTTAGGGGGTCATTATGGTAAATGGTCATTAACTTTAACTTTTTATCATCGTCAGTTACTGTTTCTACCGGTTCTGTTAAGATAATTTGTAAAAATTTTAAAATATTGCTACCGCTGGTTTTTAAATTTGAAATAGAGAAATAATTGAAAAAAATATCATCTTTTGGCCATTCTACTTGCTTAATATTGCGATTGCCGGCTTCAGCATCAAGCCTCAAAAGTAACTCGTCTAAACAAGTTGTTTCGTTAACATTCGCAAAATTAAGTAATTCGTGTTTTTTGTGTTTTAAATGTGCACATATTTGAATATTTGAAATTTTGTTATCTTTATCGTAGCGAAAATGCGTTACTATTCGCGGTATATTTTTAGAAAAATTATATGAAAATTTATCGTAAACTTGTACTGTAAGGTTGTCCGTGTAGTTGTTTTCGTTTTGTAATTCTATTGTTTTTGTCATTGATCGCGTTTTCATAGCTAAAACATGTTTTGTAGAGTCTTTTAGTTCGTTAATGGTAATGCGTGAAAGTGCGTCTGCTCCCACGTTTGATTTGCCTTTTATGTACTCAATAGTGAAGTCGTATTCTGACAGTTCTAGGCGTATTCTAGCAAGTTTTGAAGATGGGTCCTTCATGTTAAAAAGATAAACTAAGGGTCGATGGTCAGACTTCACCTTAAAGTGAGTGCCGTAAACATAGGGTCGAAACTGCTTAATCGCGAAATATATAGCTAAAAGTTCAAGTTCTATGATTGGTTTATTTTGTTCTGCTTTGTTAAAAGATTTAGAAGCGAAACATATTGGTAAGTCGTTGCCATTATGATTTTGGCTTAATATAGCACCGCACCCGTTTTTAGAAGCATCCACAGTTATTAAAAATTCTTTAGTAAAATCAGGATATTGCAAAAGTTTAGGAGACATTAGGGCTGATTTTAAGTGTTGAAATGCAGTTTCACAAGCGTTGTCCCATAAGAATTCTACATTTTTTCGACTCAGTCTATTTAAAGGTGCTGCCAGCGACGCAAAGTTAGGTATGAAGCGTCTATAATAATTTGCAAACGCAACGAATCGACGAACAGCGTCTTTATCTGAAGGTTTTGTATACTTTTTTATTGCGTTAATTTTTGAATCGTCTGGCAGCAGTCCCTTTTCTGAGCACTTGTGCCCTAAAAATGTTACCTCAGAACGAAGAAAATTGCATTTTGTGGGGTTTAGCTTGAGATTAAACTTTCTGCAAGTTTCGAACACTTTAGCTAGATTTTTTAAATGGTGAGTCTCACTACAACCTATAACTATGACGTCATCAACGTATAAAAAAGCTTGATTTGGAGAAATGCCTGAAAAGGCTATTGACATCATTCGAGAAAAAGAATTCGGTGCTACATTTAAACCGAATGGTAAAACTTTCCAGCGAAAAGCTCCCTTATCAGTGCTGAAAGATGTTATATCTCGCGAGTTTTTATGCAATGGAATTTGATGGAAACCAGAAAACAGATCTAAAGTCGAAAAGTATTTTGCTCGACCAAGGTTGTCTAATATGTCGTCCACACGTGCTAGTGGAAATTTGTCAGCGATAAGCTTTTTATTAACCGCCCTAAAGTCAACGCACATGCGGTACGATTTTTGGCCGGATGGATCTTTTTTTGGTACTAAAATTAATGGACTGTTATAATTAGAGGAGCTTGGTTCGATTAAGTCATTTCGCAGTAAAGTATCGACTTGTCTATTTATTTCTTCGCGTTGTGAGTACGGCAATCGATAGTTTTTGATATAAACGGGAGTCTTGTCATTCAGTCGAAGTTTCTGTTCGTAAAAGTTGTTGAGTGTCATACGGTCTGTTTTTAAGGCAAATACATCGGCGTATTGTAAACATAATTCAAGCAATTTGTTTTTAGCATATTTTGGCATTTGTTTTTGTAAAATTGACTTTAGTTCCTCTAAACGTTTTGTCTCTTGGGAAGTTTCGTTTATTTTGTAGACATTATAGTTACTTATATCCTCAGCTTTGATGTTATAGTTACGAACGTATTTTACCTCGTCCGTAGTATTTATTACTTTTAAAATCGGATTTGTTGTGTCAACGACACATTTTGATGTAAAAACACCAGAGCAAAGCTCGTGAGAGTCTACGAAAACAGGGTTTTTGGAATTAGTCAATTTAAATAAACGAAAAACTTCACATCTTGGAGGGATGACTAAGGTGTCGGTATTTGAACCGTGTAAAATTGCTATTTTAGTGCTTTCTGTCCCGATGCCGATAGTTATACTGTCATTTGCGTAGTTAATAATACATCTGTTCGTCTTTAAAAAGTCCTTGCCTAGTATGCCGTCAGAAGGTATATTAAAACTGTCATCTACAACGTGAAGAGTATGCGGAATAAAAAAACCTGATACAACCAAGTTTGTACTTACAGTTCCCAATGTTGTAACCGTTTCAGTTGTTACACCAGTGATGTTTATGGTATTGCTACTGTTAATTGCTGAATTTCTTGCTAAACTGGAAATCTTGATTAAAGAGATGTCTGCTTGTGAATCTACGAGAAACGAGCATAATTTGTAAGAATCGGTACAATTTAATTCAATAAAATCTGAATAATTAAGGTTCAAGCAGTAAATTGATTTTCCAGGGGTAACTACGTTTAATTGCTTAGCTCCTGCTCCCCCAGTGTTCGCTCCTGAGAGCATCGGCGTTTAAAAATCGAACATTAGAAGTGTTTCAAGAATTTGAACGAGAAGAGTTGTTTCTGTTGCTTGCCGAACGATTGCTTGTGCTATTTCTGTAATTATTTTGCCCATTGTTAAAATTGTTACTTCTATTGTAATTATTTTGATTATTATTGTGCCTTGTGTTATTGCCATTATTGTGCCTATTTGTATTGCCGTTATTAAATCTGAAACTAGTGTTGTGATAGCCATAGTTGCTATGCCCTCTAAAACCTCCTCGAAAACTATTTGGTCTATTTGCCCGTGACCTAAAAGATAACACCTGCCGCTCTTTGACTTCGTTATTGTGTTCTACAATCATTTTTGCGACTACATCTTTCGAATCCGTAAAAGTGGTTGATGCTAAAATAGATTTTACTAGTTCTGAACGACTGTTCAGTCTGCAAACATTTACTGCCTGCTCTACCGCTAACTCATGGGCTTTTGCTTGAGTCATACCCTCAATAATTAAAGATCGCTCTAATGCGTCAGATAATTCCTCTACTCGCTTCGCAAAATCGGCATATTTGTTATTAGTAATATCCCAATGTGCCAAACGACGTCGTAACGACGTCGTTTCCGACTCGTTCTGGTGAACAATTTGTTCGCCGGCGACGGTCGCAAACGACTCGCCGGCGAACTCGCCGTCGGATGAAAAGCACAGTTCGCCGGCGGGCCGCAAAAACGACTCGCCGGCGAGTCGCAAAAACGACTTACCGGCGAGTCGCAAAAACGACTTACCGGCGGGTCGCAAAAACGACTCGCCGGCAGGTCGCAAAAACGACTCGCCGGCGGGTCGCAAAAACGATATACCAGCGAACAACGAAACGATGCTCAAAATCGCTACAAAACTAAAAACAAATTTTTTAGTTTAAAATAGTTTAATTTAATTCAGTTCATTTTTTTTTTAAGTTTTTTAAATGTACATACATACTTAAATATTAATTAAAAAGAAAAATTAGGAAAACATTCAAAAAAATTAATTGTTAAAACTTGCCAATATGGCAGATAGTATATTTATGCAGACGACTGCGAAACATTTCTTTTAATCCTTTTTGAGATCCTGTCTCCAGCATAATGGAAGTATCTTTTGGTTATTCGCTCCATGATTTCCACAGATTCGTTGAATTTTTGCTGGAACGCTTCTGAAATAATATTAAAAGTATGTTAATAATTTTTGAGAGCTGGGCATCAACAATTAAAGCGTACTTCTAATTGCTGCCGTGGTGATGAGATGCCGCACAGGTTTCTTCTCTGCCGTTCCCATCCATGAGAACTGTAGCGCCAGCTCATCGCTCAGCAATGCGTTCCAGCATTTCCTTACGAACTGCTCTCCATTGCTCGCAGCAATATTTTTGAGGTCTTGTACCTTATGAAATAGAAATATCAGATTGGATTCAAATTACAAAAAACAAAACACACACAACCCTACCAAATGGTTAAATTGGTCGTGGTTTTGCAGCTTCTCTTCAAATTCCTGAAACTCTGAAAGGCTGCACATTACTTCCTTTGGAACAATTTCAATTGTTTCGGTGCTTGCTTTTTTCGACCGCATTAACTCTCGCTTCAGCACGATGACCTCCTCTGTCAATCGGTTTAAAACATTTAAGATTTTTTCTTGTGTTTTGTCAATCGTATCCAGTCGTTCCAACAGAGTATTTAGTTTCTGTTCGGTGCTCTCTGTAAGTAAATAATAGTATGCACCATCAATTATATATTATTAAGGCATACAACTTGGATTAGTTGTTCACTTACTGGCTGGTGGCGCTGGTACATCGCCGGAATCGCTGGAATCGCTGGAATCGCTGCTTATAATACGCATTCTTTTCATTGTTGATGCAATAGTAATTCAAACCACAGTAATCTAACAGAAATTCAAAATGGTGCCGATAAACCTTTTCGTTTTTTACCACGAAGAGTTTCGTGCAGCGTTTTTGTTATACGCGCACGGCAGCACTTGCTGTGGGGAGTTTCGCCTCGCGATTGGAAAATGTACTAACTAAATTTTAGTTTGGACGATGAAGTATGCATGTATAAACAATAATGCATTGTTTAATAACAAAATGTAAGTTAAGTGTAATATCAATGCGTAATTGAGAATAGTAACAATTCCTAAGCACATTATTAACTCTTGTTTTATCATTAATTGAGAAACTAAAATGGTAAATAAGTATGTTCCAGTATGAAATATCCAGCATGAAATTCCGGCGAAAGGTTCTGTTGTATCACAATAGAAAAGTATTCAGAATAGTACTAGTAGTAAAGTATAAAAAGCATTTCATTCATGTACATCAAGTGTACGATAAATTAATTATCTTTATTTTGACATCATTAGTTTATTACTCGGTTATGTGGTTGATATTAACATTTAAAAATATCTAAAATCTTAACTATTAAATCTTCATTTTTACTTGCGCCAAATAATTTTGATATGGTTGAAATCAGCATGAAGAACGGTTGGTATTCAAGACTTATGCGAATCTAAAACTCCTGATCGTGGGCTTCAAAAAAATCAACTCTGGGGTGTGGGGAAGTGAAACGAGAAGAGCAGCAAAATAATAAATTGGACAAAAACAAACGGAAGACTGCTTTTGAAAAATATTTGTGTTGCTGTTATAAGATAGCCAAAAATCAAATTGAGCTGTGTACTCACATAAATATTGTTCAAGGCGAGCCATATACCAACCGCGCCCCTTCTGAGAAGAAGGGTGGTCGGATCACCCCATGCTAATAAGTTGCTTTTGCAATTGAACTTAATACCCAGGTGTCCAGACACCCAAATGAGACAACTTATGGCATACTAGGCTATCCCTCAGTGCCTAAGAACCACCGCACACCACAGACTTTATCGGCCGCCGATTTAGTTGAGGCTCGCTTGAAATAAATGAAGATGTATGGAGGTACGCCCACTAGCTCTACTTAATCTCGCCCGACTAAGTAGTTGTGGTGCAATACTAATACTACCGAACCCAACTAAATCGGCGGGCGATAAAGTCTGTTTTGGGCGTTGGCTCTAAGGGATTTCGCATTGTGCTAGTGTAAAACCTTAGTGGCTGTTTGTGTTAAAAATGTTATCATGCACATGAATTTATGCCCTTAAAACCCTCTATAATCTCGGTATCCCTCATATTTATATTCAGTAACAATCCTGCATCTTATATCTATATTTGTATGCACATACATGCATATGTACATGTCGTCGTTTAAAGTACAAAACCGCGTATCTTCATTCTGCAAAACCGCGTAACTGACATTTGCTGCCAAAAATAGGATTTGCTCACACAAGCTCTTGGCTCAATCCTTATCGATTCGTCCTAAAATATACTAGCCAGAAATGCGATTGCACCTAAACTTTGCACTTAATATCAAAACCATTAATCATGTAATGAGTTCAACACGTAAATACAAGAGCAATTGCCACATATATGCATACATACATACATACATACATACATTTTTGTACATAAATTAACTAATTTTTAAAAGCCAATATTTTACGTAACTACTCAAAATTATATTTATTTCTGGACATTTTTAGAAATTTAAAAATTTATCTTTTAGTCCCGTTGGGGTACAAAATTGCTTAGTGGAAATTACGGGCACACATATATGGGCAGCACAGCTGCTCCGGTTTATCCAGTACACTGAATGGTGATATGTGTATGCATCAATACGCATGAAGCTTATTATGTACGTTTATGTCTCCAATCACATAAAAAAGGTTTTTATTTGATTCTAAAATATTATCTAACATGATAATAGCATTTATTTTATTTCCGCTCATACATATGTATATGTATGCTTTTTTTCTTGCGCCTGCCCGCTTTGCCTGTCGGAAGTGTTAGCCGCATCTGTTCAACACTGCCACTGCCACCAACAATTTTGCCTTTCAACAACTTTGCCCTGCGTCTGCATATACATATGAACATATGTATGTAAAACATATCGCGTTGCTGTTCCTTGACATCGTTCAGTTCAGCCTCGCGCGCTTCCTTATACTTAATTACATTAGTGGTATTCACCAATGTGAGCAAGTGGCCTGGCAAAAGAGCAGACCAGCTCAAGCAACGACTGTTGTCAGAGTGCCAGGCCACTTTCTCAGTTCGCTTAATACCACTATTGTTTTTTAAGTGCCGCATATTTGCTCTGCCAAGAGCTGCGATTACTTTGCAAAGTTTTAGGCTGCTGTTTCGGTGGCAATGTACACATTCAGTATGGCGCGCCTGCGGGAGATAAACTCAGGTACATCGACCGCACCACATTTGTGGATTCGCGCAAATAAAATTCGCTGCCACCGAAACTTTTGCCTAAGATAATTCACTCTCCTCGGCGAGCTGCTTTTGCATTCCCTTTAACCTGCGAAGTAGAAACATTTTAGTGGAAACTTTTTTCTCCCAAGTGGCTACATTATTTACTTGTAGTATTCTGCGTAAACCTGCGCTCCAGCGCTTGATTTTTCTCGGTCAGCGTTTGCACTTTCTGCTCCAAGGCGCTGATTGCTGCTAACATTATCAGCGACTGCCTTTCAATAGCGCTATTCTTTCTTATTTGATCCAAACACAAGTGGGATATCTGAAGATTAGGAAAAACCAATTTTTGTGTAATTAATAAATTAAAATGTTTATTTACAGAATTACCTTTTGCTCTTTTGACAATTTCCAAGGTCGGTGTTATGCAGACAAACTTTTGTTGCCAAATTAAATGGCGGCTGCTTAGTTTGCTCGGAGGTGGTTATGTCGAGTTTGGCACAGGGTTGCACGTTCATTATGGTTTTCATGGCTATTGCCAACACGAAATGAGAATTTCAGATGTACATAACGCGCACAATTTAAAATTTTTGTATGTGACAACCAGTGTTGCCGTTTTGGTAACTTTTAACCAATTTTGGTTATTTTTTTCTTGCCTGTGAAGTTGTTAAGATCTTTCCCATTTTGGTTATTTTTAACAGTTACTGCAGTTTCTAATTTTTGTATACATACAATAATTAAATCTTTGAAAAATAGTTTATACAAATACATTTATTCTGCTCAATATAATTATTTAACTAAAGTTATTACTACTAAAATGGCAACTCAAGATTCGACTTATTCCGATAATAATCATATGTTTACATATGCAAAAGAAAAAGTAAAAGCTCGAGGGTGCAACTATTATCGGTTCGTGTCTTTAATAAATCGCGGTGAATGAATCGCCAAGTTTTTGAAATGGCCCCGCAGTTACACCATTTCTATGTTCTTTGCACACACCTGCATAGTATGTACCTGAAATGACATTTGAATAATACGAGAGTCATTAAAAAGCCGCGAAAAATTATTAAAATTCCACGCAAAATTGGTGTTTCAAGTTAATTTATACGGGCTCAATTCTATGGATAAGTGAGCAAAAAATACACAATTTTGGTTTTATTTTGCATAATAAGTATTTCCAAAAAAAACTTTTAAATTAGGTTCGTTATAAGACATAGGCCAGCTACACCTGGCCAGGTTGAGGAGAGTAGCAGCAGCAGGGGCAGCCCCAGCAGTGAAACCAAGTGAGAATATTTGGAATCATTGTATTAGTATTACTTACATATGTATGTATTTGTTTTATAATATACAGAATACATAACATACATGGTCGGCTAAAGACTACTTCAAATGAATACATACTCAGATAGTACATATATAAATACCTCGTATATGCGGAATCCAATACCACGTCATGTATGTACAATAAAAAAGGGATTTGGTAATTATTTTTCCATTACTGCTTACTTTATTAATTTAAGTTAACATTAATAATAATAATCGTATAGCAAGTAGGTTCAAGGGAAATACCATTCCACAGTTTTGAAAAAATCGATTTTTCGCGCTTTTGTGAAATTTATTTACCATCGTATACGCTGTACTGCGTTTGGCGTATACGAGGTACTTCGCGCTGAGCGACGATATAGTTCAATACAGTCCAATTTTTAATTGTTTAATCTTAATTATAAAATATTTACAATGTGATTGTTCACGCTGATTAGGTATTTCATTGAATCTTACAAAGAAGTTGGAAACTGTGTACCTATGTACTTATTTAAAAACGTCATTTAGAGTCTGGTAATGTTTACGAAGATATTAACATACATATGCACCTAATACGGGAAGCCTTGTTTTTTAAAATATGTATTTATATATATATACTTATATATGAATGTATTTCATTTATTTTCAGCCTTAAAAGGATTTACTTTTCAAAAATGCAAATAAAAATTGATTTTCTTTGGTTTGTAAAATTTGTCTATACGTACTATATAAAATAATTTGTGATGACCTGAATTGTTAATCTAATAAAAAAATTGGTTATTTTTCCTTCCATTTGGTAACTTTTTCGTCTAATCTTGGTTAGAAAGTTCTTTGAGCCGCGGCAACACTGGTGACAACACCGAATTTGCTGCAGTTTGACCAAACAAAATTAGTTTGCTGTGAGAGTCGCCAAACTCGCTCTCTCCGAGTTTGCTACAACAACAATTGCACGCAGTTTGCCAAACAAAGTTTCTGCATAACACCAACCCAAGAAAAATTGAAACTCACCACTCGGAGAAACGTCAGAGAACATGAACTCAGAGCTGTATTTTTACGTATGTTTGTTTAAGTAGGAGATTTCTCAGCAGTTGATATTCCATTATTATTTACAGAATAATAAAAGGATTTAAAAACTAAGTTACGATAATGTGTGACGAATTTGTATTAGTTTCTATAATAATAGAGAATAGTTTCCAATTTTATTAGTATTTTTTAACTAATTTCGGTCGCTATTTCAAAGTAATGTCTTGTGCAACTCTACCATGGCGGTTCTTGCTCCGATTTATACCAGCATAATATTGTATACAACTCTGAATTAGTTAGCGGTGATGCCAAATATAACGTTAAACGTCCATTTTGGCCGCATATTATAAATTACGACGTAAATTATTAGGAATATTGACCGCTTTTTCAGCTAAGGATAAAAAATGTTGAAAGTTAATAAAAATAAACGAAGGAGGTTACGAGAAACGTCAGAGTTCCTGGGATGCTATTTTAGAGGGAATAGCTGTTTGGAAACAAAACCAGAGCTTAGCACAACTAGCCAGCAACAAATTTATGATGAAGGCAGAAGTGTTTCTCCAATGGAAATTGATGATTTCTCAGGACAAGAAGTAGAAGAAGAACATGTATTTTGCAATATTCATGAAAATAATAATAAAATTAGCAAACGAGATGAAATTGCATTGTGGGCAATTGAAGAGAATGTTCCAGCGAAATCGGTGAATAAATTATTAACAATTTTAAAGCCACTTATACCCGATCTACCTAGCGATGTACGAACATTAAAAAAGACGCCAAGATTTGTTCCCAAATTTGTAATGGAAGATGGATCTTACGTACATTATGGAGTAAAGGATAGTCTAACAGATTTTTTATTTGGTGGAGGTTTTGACGGCGAGTTATTGGAACTCAATTTTAATATTGACGGTCTACCACTTTCTAAAAGCTCGGGGGCTCAGGTGTGGCCGATATTATTGAACGTAACCGGCTCAGAAAGAGTTTTACTCGTCGGCTTATATGAAGGATACTCGAAACCAAAAGACACATCTAGGTATTACTTTCGGAGCAATCAATGTGTTCTGTATTATATAATTAATAAAATATTTAATACTTTCAGCTTTTTAAAAATGTTCGTGGAAGAACTCAAAGATGTAGTCGAAAATGGACTGGAGTATGATGGGAATTATTACCTCGTAAAAATTGGAGTATTTGTCTGTGACGCTCCAGCACGAGCAATGGTCTTGGGCATAAAAAGCCATTCCGGTTACTACAGCTGTCACAAATGTATTCAACGGGGAGAAAGATTCCAAAACAGAATTACTTTCCAGCCAACCGAGAATATTTTGCGAACTAACGAAGGTTTTCGAAGCAGAAGACATACAGAGCATCACAACGTTCAACAGCCGACTATGTTGGAGTTATTAGATTTTGACTTAATTAATCAATTTCCAATGGATTATATGCATGTTGTATGCTTGGGTGTCGTAAAGTCTTTGATAAAATCTTGGATAAAGGATAGAGGACAGTCGTATTCGCTTACTGTTAAACAAATTAATCAACTTAACTTGCGGCTTACAAATACTAAACTTAGTGTGCCTTATGAATTTTCGCGGAAGCCAAGATCAGTAAACGAGATTGATAGATGGAAGGCAACTGAACACAGAATGTTCCTGCTATATATCGGTCCAATCGTTTTGAAAGAAATTGTGAGTCCTGAAATATATAACCATTTTCTGAGCCTTAGCGTCGCAATACGAATTTTGCTTTCTGAAGATACAGACTATTACAACGACGCCGACAAATTAATAAATGACTTTCTTGACAAAGTCGCGGTTCTCTATAATATGTCTTTCCTAACTTATAATATGCACTGTTTGAAGCACTTAGTTACTGATTGCAAAAATATTGGGCCGTTACATAAGTTCAGTGCCTTCAAATTTGAAAACTTTTTACAGGAGCTTAAAAACAATATCCGGAAAAAAAGCCAATTCAGCAATCAAATTTATAAAAGAGTAGTAGAGAAGAGTATTTCAGGGAAATTAAAAAACGAAAAAAGCAATTCAATCACTGTTGGCGACTTAAAGGGGAATTATTTTAGATTTATTAAAATTAATTCAAAGTATTTCTCTTTGAAACACCCAAATAACTTCTATTCCTTTAATAACGAAATTTACAGAATTAAAGCCATTAGAAAAGAGCAAAGTAAGTATTTTGTTTTTGGTTTCAAACTTTGTACAGAACAATTTTCCCCATATGAAATACCATCAGCTACTATTCACTACTCAAATTCCGTAATGCCTGAAGGAGCTCTTTGTAGACATGATGTAGTAGATATATGTAAGATCTTTAAAATTAAGGTAGCCAATAAACTGCATTTTATCAAATTAATTTCCCAAACATTGTAAATGCACTTTTGTTAAAATTAAGTCACCTACATATGTATTTCAATTAATTTTAATCTTTTTTTCGTACATTTGTTATACCAAATTTAAAGTAAAAGTACAGTTTTCTACCAAATTTAAAAAACTTCATACCCACAAATTTTATTTTTTATTAATAAGGCCAATACAGTGAACTGTACCTTTATAAAAAAAAATTTTATATGAAAAATTTTATATAAAAAATATTATGAATACTGAAAAAAGATGCATGTGGTTTAATTTTCTGAGCACAAGTGTACATTGTGGATTCCATATTCTGTCATGATAAAAAATTGTAATAAAAAAAAAACGGTTTACTATCCAAATGAATGACTTTTATTTATGCTTAGATATATAAAAACTTGGGTGTGGAACTTGTCCAAACCAGACCGAAGGTTCCTCAAAAAACTTATGGGTTCGAAGAAACGGATTCGTTTCGAGTTCACCCAAAAGACTTCACCAGAGCGACGTCGTAACGACGTCGTTCCGAGTTCACCAAAACGACTTCACCAGAGCGACGTCGTAACGACTTCACCAGAGCGACGTCGTAACGACTTCACCAGAGCGACGTCGTAACGACTTCACCAGAGCGAAGTCGTAACGACGTCGTTTCGAGTTCACCAAAACGACTTCGCCAGAGCGACGTCGTAACGACGTCGTAACGACGTCGTCTTCGCCCTGTGGCAAATTGGGTAGATACGAATATGTCTGATACAAATGTTTTGCCAGCTCATTGCCAACAACAGCCTGCGTCATTTGAAGTGGCT